GAAATAATTCTACCATTTATCAGTCATTGGCAGTCAGCCAGAAGACAACTCTGCTCATAGCTTCCCCCACTAAACAAAATCAGGTGCCGTTTATCACAAACTAAATTCCCTATGCACACGTGACCATCTATTATTTTTGATCATGATGTCTAATCGATCATCTACAATGATTTACAATGTCTGGGTAAACAATACCATACCACAGAGGTTTCCAAAGTGTGTGCCACTGCTCCCAAGAGCACCACAAGATATTTGAAGATTTTAATACTACAATACACTGACTTTTATAGGGAAAACAAGTAAATTCATTCTAAAGTGGGTGATCAATTTATAATGTACATATAATGTAAAACTGTACCCTTACTTTGTGTCCCTCTTTACAACTGATGTTCAATGTACAATTTAAATATCAGCTTAAGTGGACACTTATATTATAAATTGATCATCCAATTTAGAGTTAATTCAACTGGGTTTTTTTTCTATTGTTCACAAGGCCCAAGAGCCACTTCAGGTAAGGGGCTACTGGATGACATTGTTTTATGAATGTAAGAGGAGGTGGTAAAAGGTGTAAATTGGATATATAATGATTAACCCAAGACTTGAAGAGGTTACCATTGTAGTGTTTGGGTAAGCATCCTCTTGGGAGTGTTCAACAAAAAAGTGTCTATCTTAGGAAGAAACTGCCTGAATGGGACGCCCTTCTTACAAATGGAATACAAACAGAATGATGGTAATTCAACAGTGTACGTAGCATGGAAGGGCTAAGCTGTAAAGGCCTGAACTGGTGGAACTAAGCAATGTAGTACATCAGAACATTTTCTATGGAAATAGAAACAAAGTAGTAAGAGGCTTGCAATATATGGGAAAGGGGTTATAGGGTAGAAATAATTCATCACCCACAAGGCTGCAGAAATGCTTCTGAAATTTTATCAAGACTGGAAAGATGATCTCCTGAGAATATAGAAGGCAATTTAATACTTACAGGAAGTTATTTCTTTATTTAGATTGCTTAATTAAACATTATAGCATGTGTAGTAGCAGTGTAATTTAAAAAACAATTCATTGCCTACAAGGTTGCATAAACACTTTTGAAGTATCCCAAAACTGGAAAGAAACGATTGGGTAACTCCAGTCCAGATATGGCAGAAATGCTATTTTTATGGTTTGATCTGACTATTATAAAAGATAAATCATGGCAGAAGTAGTCTGGTACTTTCTGGAGCAGTACAAGCATCTTTAACAGTTACTTTTCCTCAGAAATGAAACATCTCCAGAAGAAACAAAAGATAAATACATTCAAAGCTGTCAAAAAAAAAAAAAAAAAAAATTATTTTTCTTAATTACATTAGCTTTAACTGAAATTTGACCGTTGACAGTCAGCAACACACCAATGGTCACTAACAGTGGTCATGACTAACAGTCACCAAAAGTCATTATCAATAATCACTTCTGCATCAATGGTCATCACCAATGGTCATGATTAACAGTTGCTAACAGACCCAGCCATAAGAATATACATAAGCAACCAAAAAAATATCTGCTACTTAACTCTTAAATGTGGCAGTTTATATAGACACCCGATACACTCATAATTGGTCAGATCAAAATTTGCATATCCTACTGATAAACAAGCTAGACACACACCTTGGGTGCCTTATTTTTGGTACACAACCCATGGGAATTTAATTTGACATTAAGTGATCAATTTGTTTTCTACAACTTAAACCTCTGCAGGTTATTTAAAGCCAGAAAATATTTTTAAATTATAAGAATATTTTTTTTTTTTTTTTTTGAGATAATAATGGTTTAGTGATACAAGTCTTACTAATTAACTCATACCTTGGAGGATAAGTGGTGGATTTATACCTTCCCAATGGCATTTGCACATAAGTGAATATAACAAACCTAATGGAAATTGGAACTTGGCCCTCTAATTAACAATTCAGAGCCATTATCCATTACACCACGCACACATCTAAGCTTACAGCACCTGGTATTCCCAAGTGGTCACCATCTAGGTATTGACCAGGTTTGATATTGCTTAACTTTGGTGATCATACAGGAACTGATGTGTCAACATAATGTGGCAATAGCCCCCCCCTTTTTATTTAAAAAAAAAAAAAAAAAAAAAGGTAAGGGACTACTTTCATTGCTACAATGTGCAATTAATATATCCTGTCTACTTTCAACTATATCATAATATCATTCCCGAACATGTTCATAGCCAATGCCATTGCATTTCTTTCCATACATGCAATTTACAGCTCTTTTCTATCTCAGATCGTCACTAATATGAAAAAGAAAATGGGTAGAATTTTCACCAGGTAGAAATGCATTTCTTCATATAAGTTTTTTTTAAGCATTTCACCTCAAGCAAGGTGGGAGTGCTACTATCATGCAAGGGGTTATAGAGAATGAGAGCAAAAGTAAAGATTGCTGTTTGAGGAAAGGATATAGTGAAGAGTGGGGATCGGAATCAAGGCATCAGAAGATGTCAATTGACATTGCATTTGAATATTTGAAGGTTATAGACATCAGGGATGCAAGCAGGAGAAAGGGAGTTCCACTGTCAGGAAGAGCAAGAGAAGAAGCTGTTGGAGTAGAAGAAGCTGTTACATTTAACTGTTTCAATAGTGAAAGGGTGGGACCAAGATGCCAACCTAGTATCACACTTAAATTCATGCAGTTGTTGTACCAGTGAAAGTAGCTCGTCAGAGCAGTTGCCATGAAAATATTTGTAGAAAAAACAGGGCCATGAGATGAACAGCAGGGGCACCAGACCATATGTGGGAACAGTATGTAATGCAAAGATGAATGGGAGATTTGTGGTTTTGAAGGATGGACTCGAGTAAGATAAATCTTATGATGCAACACAGAGAACCAACTTTCCTTGCAGTAGATGAAGCTATTGATTCAATGTACTATGAAAGTAGATGCTTAAGAGGTTCCTTAATTCCTCTTAGATTTAGAACTCCCTGACAGCTTATAAAATTATGTTGAAAAAGAAAAAAAAAACCACAGGCATGGTTTCATAATGCAGTTTTACTTTTCTGATTACAAAAGTGAAAACATTTTATATATTGCTAAACATACATACACCCTTAAGCAAATTAATTGAAACAACTGCTTTAGTTTCCTTTCTTTCACCATATGGTCTGTTTTAGACCAACTGGAGTGACAGGGTGTAATCAATTTCTATTTTTGTATGTAGTAATATAAATCTATTTTCAGGGTGTAGGATGAAAATTTATTTGGCCTTGAAAAATATTGCACACATATGTGATTTCATCAGATTTTCATCACACCCAGACACTATTGTCTCAACTGTCAATTAGTTGTCTTATGGTCATTGTCTGTGATGGACATTACTCCAAGGAAGCATATAAAAATTGTAATGCTGCCTGAACACACTGGCAAGCCTTACCTGTGAGCAAATTAAAGTACTAGAGACTGGCCAGGAAATTCTCCAGATTTAAATCCAATTGAGAATCTATGGTCAATCTTCAAGGAACAACTTGATGGAATGGACATATGAAGTACTAATGTGCACTGGATCATGTTTCATTGGAAAAATATGAAAAAGTAAATAATAATGGAATTATACTTTTTGTTTCAATTAATTTGCACAAGGGTGTAATGAATAATATAAAGGAAATACAGTCACCTACATGTTGTTCAGTTAAATATAAATAATACATGTTGATGTTTAAAAAAAAAGTTTCAATAGAGAGACTAAATTTGATAAACCTTTAACAAAATATGAAATTTTTAGGAGATACATTGCACATTCATTTAGTATATTCACTAAAAGAGAAAAATATATGCATTGATAAAACAACAGATTTGCAATTAAAGTTCAATGGAGAAAACTATTGAATTTTCTAAATATAACATCATTTTCTTTTGAATCCTAATCAATTCAAACACAGTACAGTGGAACCTCAGTTCATGAATTTAATTTGTTCCTAAAGACTGACCATAACCAGAAATGTTCATAAACTGAAAAATATTTTCTACATAGGAATCAATGTAAAATGAATTAATCCGTTCCTAGACCCCAGACAATTGTTTATCTAAACTTTTGCAACAGGACTTTGGGCACAAGTTCATACATAAAAACCAATGAAAAATCATTAAATCCAGCATACAAGAAAAAAGATAAGCCCAATACTAAACAGATAAAATACAGACAAAAACTAAATTTAATTTTATCGTACCTGTATAGCGGAGAGTTAATGATGAAAGTGAGGGAGGGAAGAAATATCATTGTTTAAAAGGCAAGTTCCCTTCCTGAAAAACATCAAGTAACTGCCATTTTGCAGTTTCTCCTCTTTCTCTTTTCTGCCTCGTAGCACCACTCGACTACAAAACTTGGTGTGTCATGGTTTCACTAAAGATTTGTCCAGTAGGATTTGTTTTTGTCTAAATGTTAAAAGGTTTCTAAAGTAAGATATGACATGGCCTATCTTCCCAAAGAAAGATGCACAAAATCGCCTGTGCCATATATATCTAGTGCCTTACAACCAATAAAATGTCTGTAGATGAATGTGAAAAGAAAATCAGCATAACTGACACACAAAAGCTTGCAGAATTTTCTTTAAGAGAAAAACAAGGATTACAGATGGTGAGGCATATGTTTCAATGGGCCAACTGTAGGGTCCAAAGCCATGGCAGTGAGAAATGTGAAACAGATTATGACAGTCATATTACTACTGTCATTGAAAATGGTTATGCTGCAGCTCGCTTCTGTTTATCAGGGAGATTCCATGAAGCTTTGCACAAGTTTCACCAATGTACATGCTTGTTGTTCAAGACACCGTTCATCAACAAAGAATTTTTTATTCAGATAATTTGTATATGAACCAATTTGTTTGTGATGAGATGCATTCATGATCTGAGGTTCCTCTGTACTCCTTTTAAAACATCTCAATTTACAATGTTCATAAACTGAGCCTGCATCATACACACAGACAACAATTAAAAAAAATGATGATACATACATTCGCACTTGATTCTGGGCAGAGAAATATTGATAAATACTGGAATGTCATCTTTCTTGCTAACTGGGTCATCCACAGTTAATTCACTTATACTGTCAAAAAGAAAAAAATATTTTTGGTCACAGGTGAGAAAAGAAATTTAACAAAAGATATATATAATTAACTGAAATGTAATTTCAATTGAGTACATGCTATTGAATTTGTTGAATACAGTGCTCAGTATCTGGGAGATAAAGCCAAATATAGTGTAATGTTACATTTTTAAAATGATCTAAAAAAAATTTAACAAATATACACAAAATGAATATATATATTTCATTTAATTTACTTAAAAGTGTTAAATCTACTCTGAAATTGATCACTTCTAGCCAATTTAAAAAACTGCTCAATATCTAAACTGCAGAGTAAATCTAAGCATGTTTTATTTTAGAAAGATATTAATACCTCACCGACTACTGCTGTTTGACCTTTCAGATCTTCAGGCTGGTTTGGTTATTCAAACAAGACTGGAGATCCAAAAGGGAAAACTGTAGGTAAAGTATTTATGTATTTAATAAAAATGATCTTAACTAATATATATGTATGTATATATATCTTTTTCTTGTGTTTGTATATTATTTTTATAGCTACAAATATTTAAGTAAATACTCTGTAATAAGCTAACTATTAGCTTTAACTACATTTACCAGTCTGAATACTGTTTCTTGTAAACCATTGAATATTTTTATCTATAAAAATAACATATAAACAGAAAATTTATTAAAATAATTGTTGGACTTAGTCCATTTCATAAATATATATATATATATATATATATATTACACACATGCACACAAAGATAAAGAACAAAGAAAAAATGTTTATCAATCTATCAGGTTTCACTTTTATTAAAGCTTCAGAGGATTTAATAAAAGTGAAACAAATTGATAAACACTACCTATTTGTTCTTTACCATATCATTCTATCAAATTCTGATCCATATTTGATCCCAACTCATTATATATACGTATATATATTTGATCTGATGTGTTAACCATTCAGCTACAAAGAAGCTTCCGTTTAGCAAAGTTCAAATTTCTGTTTATAAACACACACCTTTGACAATTTTTCTCAACTGATCATATCTACTCACAAAATATATTTTAATGTAAACAATGGCAACATATGAAATGGTTTAGTTCCAACAATTATTTTAATATTTTTTCCATTTATACATTATTTTTATAATTATAATTTATTTCAGTAAATGCTCTGTTTTTTTTTTTATTAAAAAAAACATTAAAATTTATTTACATTTACTCAACTGAATATTTGAGACTGTTAACCAAACGCTTCATGTGGCTGAATGGTTAACAGCATATCATATCAAATGATGGTTCTTATTAAGGGTTACAGGTTCAATTCCTCTTGGAGAAGTACATTTTCCTTACATTGTACAATGTATGTGCCAAGTTTGGTCAAAATAGGTTGGATGAACCTGCCTTCCAGGTTTGCCCTTCTTTTATTCCATTCAGGATAAAGAGGGCAAAATTACATCAAAGTTGGAAGATTGAATCCATCTTCATTAAGGATTGGATTCAAAAACTTTCAAACGGTAGCCTGGGTTTAAAGCAGGAATACAAGAGATTGTGTTTTTTGATTGAGTAAGGTTCTCTAAGTTTTGGGGTTGGGTCCATCAACGTGGGTGTGTTAAATTATCAACTAAGCATGATGCTAAGTTGAAAATATTGACACACAAGAGATATGTAGGTACAGCAGATCCTAATTTAAATAATATTGTAAATTTGTCTTTTCATGAATTAACTGAGCTTGAATGGTTTGTTCTTGCTCATGGTTTGGATTTTTGTATTCCACCCTCTATGCCTGATAAGGAGAAAATTTTTTCTGAGTTTGAGGTCTTTTATGCCCAGTTGGCAAGACTTTCACCTACTTCTGCTGATGTGGTTAGTGATTTAAAAGCCCAGTTAAATAACTCTGCACACATGTTTGCTAGTTCTTCTGTTGCTTCAGCTGAATCGAAATGGAAAGCTGAATATCAGCGAGTTGTTAATACCTTGAGGAATAATTGTGATCTTATAATCTCCAGACCTGATAAAGGAGCTGGTGTTGTTATTTTAGATCAGGCAGATTATGTGGCTAAGATGTCTTCGATTTTGAAAGATACTTCTAAATTTATAAAACTAGGATCTGCTGATACGTGTGATGCAACTGCCTCAGGTGAAGTAAAATTTCAAAAAGTGGATAAAGTCTGGGGTGCTTTCACAAGAAATTTCCAATGAAATTCGACCATCTGGGTCGATTTGTCCCCGGTTGTATAGGCTTCCAAAAATCCACAAGGATGGGGTACCATTGAGACCAATTTTATCAATGGTTGGTTCAGCCCAACATAAATGGCTCTCATCTCTTTTGGAACCAGTGTTGCAGTGCTTGAGTAGATTTTGCATAAAGCATTTTTTCCTTTGTTGACCGTATCCGAAATTTATCTTCTTTGGGGAAGTTTGTCTGTTCCTTATTCACTTGTGTCCCTCTTTTGGAAACAATATTTGTTGCGATTTGCTTTATCACAGTTCTTTGTCTCCACCTAGTATTCCCGAGTCTGTATTTGTGGATTTGATGAAATTTACCACGTTGTCTGTCGAATCCAGTTTTAATAATACCATGTATCGACAGATTGACAGGGTTGCTATGGGTTCCCCTTTGAGTCCAGCACTTGCCAATATTTTTGTTGGCTTTCATGAAGAGAGAATACGTATGAATGTATTTCATCCTCAACTGTATTGTTGATATGTTGATGATACTTTTTGATTATTTAATAATGTATTTGAGGCTGATCAGTTTCTCTCTTTCCTGAATGGTATCCATCCAGCACTGAAGTTTACGGTCGAGAAGGAATCCAATTATCAACTTGCCTTATTGGATGTCTTAGTACATCGGACATTGACAATTTTTCTCACCTCAGTTTATAGGAAACCAACATTTGTGGGATTATATACATGTTGGGATTCCTTTAGTCCTAGAAAACATAAGATAAACATAATTAGAACCCTAGTTAATAGGGCATTAATGATATGTTCAGAGTCTTTCTTGGATGATGAAATCAATTTTGTGAAGGAAACCACTATGTGGTTTAGGGTATCCCCCTGATAATGTTCATTCTATTATCCGGAACAAGATTGAGGAGTTCAGAAAGGTCAAACTTTGTACTGTTAAAAAGTGGCCTGTTTATCTTAGATTGCCCTGGATTAGATCCAAGAGTGAAAGTATCATTAGGCAGATTTCATCTAATGTTTGTTGTTTTTTTTTTTTTTTCTCAGCTGAGGTTCATATAGTTTTTTAAGCCCAGCCTATGCTTCATTCTGGGTGTAAGGATGTTCTCCCTCCCCATCAAATTAATTCTGTTGTTTACAAATACAATTGTAGTTGCGGTGCTGACTACATAGGGAGAACTACTCAACGCCTGGGCATGAGAATTAAACAACTAAAATCAGGAATCACACCTTGTCTTTGAATAGATGTGTCCCAAATACCTATGGTTCCGCCATATGTGAGCACCTCTTAAATAACAGAGGGTGTGCTGCTAATTTCAGTGCTGATTGGTTCACTTTTTTTTCCCGGTCACACTCTTTATTTCACCTCAAGGTGCTGGAGGCACTTTATATCAGGTCCTGCCGCTGTTATTTGTCTCTAGCTCCTTGCGTTCATTTTTTTTTTTTTCCTACCTTTTTCCTTCTCATTGCACATTTTCTAGTGTTTTAATTTAAGTTAAATCTGACATGGAGGCCTGAAGAGCAAGAGCAAAACCGGTTGTTTTGCTTTTAAAATGTCTAGTAATATTAAGCTTCACACTTTTATTTCTGTAATTAGATTTTGTACCTTCAAAAATATTTTCATATAGTTTTACATATTTTTTTTTTTATCTGGGCTCACCACAATATCATTTCAGTTTATTTAGAAGATATAACATCTAGAAAATTCAAATCACTGCTTTATAAAAATTTCTAAGATTTAAACATTCTTAACTACAATCAAACATTATCTACTTGAAGTACAATGACAAAAATTAAAATATTCTTTTCTTTACTTTTACTCTCCAGAGTCAAATAAATATGAGTTTGTCATTTAAGTTTATGAAACTATTTAGAAGTTATAACATCTAGATAATTAAACTTGTTGCCTTTTAAAAGCTTGAGAGGCTTTAGTCTGCAGCCTATACTAAAATTTATAATCCGGCCCTGTACATAAAAAAATTATGAAGAAAATCACAATTTTACATTTCCTAGAAATTTTGATCAAATTTTAGAATTACGCCCCCTTGTGCATATATAAAAAAAAATAAGAGTTTATATTTCCTTATTTTTATTTTAAAATAGGTGAATTGTACCGATTATTTTATAATTATGGCAGCATAGACATACCGAATTTTTTTCTGAATATATATTCACAGACATACTTCCAATGATGATCAGTTCTGTATGCACCTTTTTCTTCTAAAAACCTTTTTAATTTTTTTAAATAGAGCCAGAAATTCTCGAAAACAAAATTGGAGGGCGACATTATTCTGCATTTATACCGACATTTTTGTTAAAATACTAATGTCTTTTATCTATTATGTTTTATGCAAGTTCGAGTTTCAGGAGAGAGTTATCCTGAATTTCGGATCAGAGTTGTTTAGTTTTTCAGTACTTTGACCGTAATTAAAATTCAAAGAAATTCTAGTCAAAAAATTAATGCTTGTAGTTTTACTTATTTAAACACATTTTCCAATTACTATTTCTATTGTTCAATGAAATGGACATAAAAATATATATATATAAATAATGTCACAGACGTAAATTCTTGTAAAAACCGAGATTAGATGTCAAGTTAAAAATAACAAAAATTATTTTAAGGGAGATAATTCTCAATACGAAATGTTTCAAAAGGGAAATAACTACAAATTTTAAAGGTTAGCTCCCTTGGATTACAATTCGTGTATCTATGTCAGTAAGTAAATAGGTGTTTTTTTTTTGTAGAAAATTAAAAAAAAAAGCGATTTTTAAAAAAAAATTATCATCTGTTAATTTGTTAGCATGATTTAACTTTGGTACTTAGC